ATGAGCCAAGAAGCTGTTGTAAAACCGAAGGGTCGAATCGTCCGAAGGCTAGTTTCAGGAAGCCTACGGGTTGGATGCCCCTCCTTGAGGCCGTTTCAGCCTAATTAGAAGACCTAAGGTCGGCCTGGTCCAAAATGCCCAGATTCTTTTAGCCAGAAGACGTTTGAAGGTCTCGGTTGCCCAGCTCGTTGGAACACACCACCTGGTTCCACAAGCGCAGCACTCTATATTTTTCCACCTTGAATGGGTAGATCTTGGGTTAACCACGCGCAAACACTATCCAGATCGACATGGAGTACGGTGATATCATCTGATATGTTGATCGCCCTCTACACCTTAATGTCATCGGCACAATGCAGGAAGTTCGAGCTCATGAGGCGTGTGATCTCGTTGAAATGCGTCAAAATAACCGTGGCCTAGTACAGATCCCTTTGGTCCTCCGGATTCAACTTGTATGGGATCTGACAGAGATTCACGCACTCGTGCCTGCAAGTACCGGTGAATGAGAAAGCTTTTGATCCATCTTAGGTGAGCATCACTAATACCAAAGGACTGGAGTTTGGAGAACAGAATATCGTGGTCTAACCGGTCGTCCTTCCTCACGGATTACATTGGAGTTACAGTTTATACTACGTATACTGCAATGAGTCCACCGGTGTAAACCTAATTTTGCTGACATCTATATTTTGAACTTTCACCATGACCATCCAACGGGACCTGTTAAGTTTTAGCTTTTTTAACTGTATAAAACCATTCCTCCATTGTTCCATTGAAGGCCTTTGAGAAGCCGATAAAAACTACATCATCTTTTGTGCCAAAGTCTACTACTTTAGTCCAGGTGGTTTGTGCTAGCAGTAGATTTGTAGTGCACGATCGATTTCGTCGGAAGCCATACTATTCCGGTTTAAGGTAGTTAAACGCTTCCAAGTAGGTCGTTAGTGCATCGGAAATAATAGCTTACATGACCTTTGAAAGTACCGGTAGTAGGATTACGGAGTGATATTTCGCTGGATGGAAACGACTACCTACCTTGTTATTAGGAGTAATCGTTTCACGTTTCCATATGTCGGACATGTACATTTTGTCAAACCAAGGTTGGAATAATCGATCCAAATGTTCAGCTAAGCCCTCTCATACTGCCGTACTCAGTGCTTACGCACTTTCAACCGCTATTTAATACAGCTTCTGTCGTGAGGAATATGAGTGTTTTTGTGCTGAGACAACCATTGTCATAGCGTTAGGTTGCTAGTGATCACACTGAAAGGTTGCAGTGTATTCCAGGTGCAGTGTATTCGTCTCATCCTTCAGTTTTGGCGTGGCTTCGTCCGTTGATTGAAAGAGATGAATTCCTCGTTTTAGCTTACCTAGACTGTCTATGTGTTGATACAGATGTTTGTGGTTCGAGGTCATACGCAAGGCAAACTGCTGCTAGTATATCATTCTATCCCCGCGAACAAGCTGAGTAAAGTGGTTACGTTGGGTCGCGTAGGCCATCCAATTCTCAGTGCTCAGAGAGTTCATAGATATGCCAGGCTGAGTTTCGCACCGCTATGCACTTGTGTGTCTTGCTTCGCGGAAACGAGACCACGTTTCTCGAGTGGACAGTTTTAGTCGTTGACGCTTCGGCAACCACAGTGTTAGAATTGCTGCCGAAATGTTCCCATACGTTAGCCGGTGCCTCGGCTGCCAAAGGTCCAGTTGGCTGTCTCACTTAGCCGAGCTAATATGTCATAGCATATAAACGTCCTTGTTCTGTCGGCACGTCCCACGGAACATTCGGCATAACAGATGTATTCGAAGAGTAGGACTACATGCTAGCTGCGGCCCAAAGGGACGTCGACGATTACCCTCTCGACCATCAGTTCTCCGTTGGCGAGTATCCGATCCAGTATAGACGGCCTATATGTTTCTGTGGATCTGTGGGAGTGTTGATGTGACCATTCAGTGGGAAACTAGAGACAACCTTTTGTTGATCGACCTTAAACTGTTCTCCTGGAGCTGCTTGAGATTCCATAGTGAGGATGTTGAAATCGTCAGCGAAAAGAATGTGCCTGAACTTCTTGTTTATCACCCGCCTTATTGCGGATGCGGAAGTCCAGCTCTGGCTTGGAGTAGGGCGGTAGAGGACCGATATCAAACCGGCGTCGTCGCCTGTTAAACGTAGACGGCACCAAACGGTTCACATTAAACGTTATTGTGGAAGTGAAGAGCCACCCGACCACATTTGCTGGGTCGGTCGTTCCGAACAACACATATTCCTGGCAGTGCGACCTCCATGTCACTTATGTCGAGGCGTAACCTTACCCACATTATAGCAGTGAAGTCACAGGCTGTTAATCCTTAATGAAGTTCCTAAGTTAGGCTTGAGTATTGGTGTACATGTATGAAAGCTTCCTGCATATCAATTGTTCTTGACGAGGAGCACATGAATGATGTAGGTTTGTGCCTACCGATGAGAGACCGGCACCTAATTGCCCTTTTGTGTGACTTGCCCAATCTCAAAAGCAATGCAAGCTGTTTTTGATCTCACTTGCACCTGCGGTATGTAATCCATCTTTAGCTTCCTCGGTAGCTACTGGTCTTAACCTACACTTTCTTGAACCACTGTTGTCCTTATATTGAGTCACGGGTGGTGTAGTTCCCGCGAGGACAACGAGTGGATACGATACTCTAACTGCTGTCTTCAATCGTAGTTCCGAAGAAAGTGTGTTGCATAGTAGCTGCCAACTGCGGATTAAATTCATCTCCATCTTTTGTGACTGTACCATTAATTTCAGTATGCTCGGGCTACTGCCTTTCTTCTGTGGGGACACCGATGACCATATAATCGACTGTAGTACTAACTCGCCAGCACAGAGAGCTTCACGGATGCATCGCAATTTTTCCAGTTCATGAGCATGGATTGCTCAGCCGATAAACGCCGGTAACTCGAGGACGTCATGAAGAGACATGATTCTTCTGCTACTCTCCGTGTGGTAGTCGGTTAAATTATTTTTGTTTTTGCTGGTATTCGCTTCCTGGGACATCAGGAACTATGTGTATTCCACTATCTTGAGTCCGCAGGCGGCATGGTGACAGAAGCACCGTTTCGACATCAACTGTGGATCCAAACGTTACTCGTATTAGCTGAGAGTCACCGCAGTACATCGAGGCTGGAAATCTAGTGAAGGGCATTAGATTAGTCGGCCTGGCCTGACCTATTATTCTATCGCAAATGAACTTCCACTGCTTTAACTCATCCTGCTGTTTACGCCGTAAGGAGTTTGCCTTGGACTCCGGAACGTGAATGCATATATTTACCAAGGTACCGTAGTTCCGTCGGGTCTTCAGTAATGTGGGAGGCACGACTATTGAGGGCTTTGGTGACGTCTCTGTTGGTCGCGCCTGGTCCTTGACCCGTATCGTGGCTGTACAGGGTGAGGCTACTGAATTCACACTTTGACTATATCGAGCAGAAACGCTTGCATAAGTGGATCGGTCATTACAGAGTTTTGGATTTTGTCGGTATTTGTTACCGATGTGATATCAGTCGATGCGTTGGGTAAGGGGGTGTGGGCGGTGGAGCTGGGTGTGTTTAGATCGTTTGCGACGATGAGTTGGTTCGTGGTTCCCAACTTGAATAGTACTGCATGGCCGTGGGAAGGCCTGACCAGTTTTCGTGGTTTAGAGGCAGCAGTTAGGGGGAGACGGATGAGGTGTAAGCTGCGCTGTTGTCGCCTCGAGCGAAGCAATTTTGGTACTTAAGCGGTGATCAATTTCGGCGACTTGACTGTCTTACTTCCGTGTTAATGTTAATACTCATTTAATACGTGGAAGCGTCGTATACTTAGGGCAGAACCAAAGTGAGTCCTGCGTACGTATAAATTTCTTCATTTCGGTTTGTCAGACTGACGCATTTCGTAAGGCAACGGCTTGTGCACTTGGAACATGTCAACCCGATTTTTACTAACTTGGCACATGGTTGATTAGCGTAAACTACTTCGTTTCGGGTTGCCGGTGTTGTGACCATGTTAACTGACTGTCCGTTGCCTTCCTTGTGGGTTAGCAGCGCCTACCCGTCGGATAGCGTGTAGTCGCCAATCGTCAGGTCAAGGTCAGGTGATTAGCTCATCGTGCATTGTGTGTTGCGTCCATAGGTAATTTGATCGCGAGTAGGGCAGCTGGTGTATATATCGTTATCGTGTTAGGCAGGTTGGCTGATCGCACCGACTGAAATGAGGAGTGGAGAAATTTGGCGATTGCTTCCCCGAGAAGGTTTCGCAGTAGAAATGTAGTTTGCTCTGTATTTGTGACATACGGTGATGGAAGGAGACGAATGAAAATTTATCGAAAGCTAGGAGACTCCCCTAACGAAGGAGGCAAAAAGTCTGGCTGGGTGATTCTAACTGCGCAAACTTTCACGATTGAATAAAGACGATAAATGGCCCAAATTCGTAAATCCGCTAGAAACAATCTGTCCCCCGGGAATTATTCTAGAAAAAGGCTTTCAGTAGCCGAAGCTCCTCAAACAGACGGAAAAGTGTAAATCCAATAACGTGTGACCTAATGTCACATGAAAAAGGCAAAATAAATTGACTCACGAATAGGGGTGTTCACCTCACATCGAGAAACACACATGTCTGCATCCCTACCGGTATCGGAATAACCTGTGCAAGGTGGTGGAATTTTGAATGACCACCTTACTTGCTCCCTATTGTGATTTAGCGTCGCAACCCATTCACAAAAGAGTGATTTAAAATAACTCGCCAAGGCTCTGCATTTTTTCTGTCTATAAACTAGCGAATTACCTGCCCGAGATGTGCCTGAAGAAGTAAAAGTGTTTATAACTGCATTCACGTTGTGAAGCGACCCAAATTGATGGTTTTGGTTTGGCGCCAGTGGTATGGTGGTCAGAAAAGGTCATAAATGTGAAGGGGACCTGGAATGGTATCACGACATTCAGTATCCAAGTAAGTAGCCAACATCGGCATTTTTACACTATATTGTCTTTCTACTGACAGGAATGTCAACGGATTCGGATTGCAAGGTAATTCATAATTACCAAACAGCACCAATTCGACTGGAACTTCGTCCTGCTTTCGATGCGGAGCAACAGCTAGCAGAACTACAACCGGGATGCAAACTGCCCACTAACTTTAGTGGTTCTTGGTTTTATCCCAGTGAATATCAGACAACCGTAAGTTCAAGTCTTATGCCATTCAGTCAGTTGAATGGATTGCGTGCGCAAACCGCGTAGCTGTGTGTGAGTCCAAATAGAAATTATGCCACAACCGTTCCCTGTATTTGGGATCAGCTTTCCCCGGCATAAGCAAGAGTTTTGCTATTAAAAGCGCATTGTGTTTGGTAAAATATGTGACGGCAATACCAGCTGTATGAAACCTATAAGTACTATATATATATATATATATATATATATATAAGGGACTAAGGAATGGATATGAAACCATTCAAACCCAGGGAAATCACAGGAAAGTGGCAAATGTAATTGCCACAAAATAGAAATAGGGCATTCTTACACGTTGTCGCATTTGCTTTTAGCACTCTGTAGCAAAAATTACTGAATCTATAGTTAGCAACAAAGACTATTACGTAAAATAGCAGCTGCTAACTGTTATGCAAAAGTTATGTATGAGCGGCAAATCTTGACTTGTTTTTTGGTCATCCGCATTTCTCGTCCAGGAAAGCGCATGGATACAACTACGGCTAGGCGAGAATCAAGTGTTTGCTGTGCTATTGATAATCGAAAAGCTTGTACCCACATGGTCCATTCTCACCCAAACTTGCCCGACTGAATATAGCACAATACGGTAAAACCCTCCGTTGATACACGCAAGGTATGAACCAGCCTTTTCCAGTGGCGTAGCAAAAATAGTCTATTAAACAAATACTCGCATTTCCAAAAACTCGATATGAAAGTTTTGCAGTTTAAACTCGGTGTTGCCACCAGACACGAGCCATTCTGCTCTAGCAACCACTGTCAAACTTATCCACACGGAGTGGCCAGAGCGCACTTCCATACGGAACATAGCTGGAACGGATGCATTGTTAACCCATTTCTAAAGTGAGAAGTAGATGTCTCGAAGGTCACAGTTGTCTCCGATTGGCAAAAACCTACCGAACTTTGACGATACTAAATGATAGGAACTTTCCAATAGTACCAACGCAAAACACGCAGCTCCCCATGGGGAAGAAATAATCATTCGTTCAAATTGTAAGCCTTCAAACGTGATTAAAGCGACGATTGCGCTTCAAAATTGTAACTAAAGATAATATTTCGTGGATAAAAGCACATCCCGTAGCTAGATGCTCCAGTCACTAGACGGTCCAGAATTGGTTACCTACTATTTGGAACAATGGTATATTACGGGCAGAAAAGCGGATGCTTAGCAAGTCCCGTAGGATGGCCTAAAAGAGAACCACCACATAGTGAATAGAAAACAGTGATAAAATGAAAATCACTTTGGTTGACTCACCACAGTTTTCACAAAGTGGTATGCAGAAAGGGCCAACCTCAGTCGTGTAGGTTAATTCTGTTTGTGCACATTTCATCACATTATATCGTCTGTCAAAACACACAGGCTATATGTAGGTGAGTTAGGGTAACGTCAAGGCGTTTTCTAAACACAGGTAAATTGGGGGCAGAAACAACGTAATTTAGGAGGGCGTTCCATGTCTGACTTACACGCAGAGAGTAAAAATCCCGTCGACATCCTAGCCGACTGTATTACGTGGCTAACTTGAACTGGTGGACTTTCAAGTTCGTGTTGTGGTTCAGTTATAGTAGGTGGCGGCTGACGTTGTTGGGTTTCATTAGAATCTAGTAACCCATAATATGGTCGCCACGTAAGCGCCGTTACCGGCCGCCGCATAATTTTTGGGTTCAAGGCCAAACAAATTTCAGAGCCTGTAGCAATTTGTGCTGTTTGCACAGCTGTGGTTTCAGAATCTTGATTGCAATAGCTTCAGAAATGGTCAACAGATGTTTTTGGGTCCGCAATCTGAAGTTGATAAGGAAGATTGAACAACCCTTTGATGTGCTTCTTGGTTCGTCGCTGAGGTGTCTCGAACTCTACAAGGTCCTGTTTGTGCCAGGGCTACCAGACCTGGATTGTGTATTCCACACGAGGCAGCACGTAGGTGGTAAGCAACAGCGAACAGACAAAGGGATCAAACCGCCCGAATACCCTCCGCATCATGCCAACGAGTTGGTTCTCCATATTTGCGTCAACATGTAGTATGCCGACGTCATTGATAAATAAATCAGTCAAGCGATCACCTTGAAGGAGCCCCAAGCTGGAGTTTAGTTCATCTTCCAGATTTGTTGACAGAACATCTTTAATTGAAAATCTTTAATTGGAACTGAACCATTTCGCCGTACACAACTATTGACAAGGGAAATTGTGGAAATCTTCTCTTAAACTATCACAGGACCGGAGACGTGAAAGCATGGTATATGAGATGGTAGCATATCTTTATGTGAAGCAATAGAACAGATGAACAATAGCATCAAATGCAACCTGGAAGTTTAGTAAGGCGGCGATTGTAGGCTTCTGGTATGGATGGCGGTATTCTTGGAGTTGGTGGAACTAGAGGACTCACCATACACACCCACGGTTGGAGTGACAAATACCTTGTTTCAAGAATCATTTAACTCAAGAAATAGATTCGTTGATGGAGCATGATAGATGTCAATAGTTTGGAGATAACCGAAGTGCAACTACTCCGTCGATAACTAGCATATGAAATGTCAAAGCTATTTTGAAAATCTGGACAATTGTCTGCTCGCTTAGAAAGAAGATAGCCTCTCTTCTTGTCAACATTTGGAGAAAAATGAGGCCAACCATCTGATGCTTGCTATGCTCCTATATTTAGCCATTGCTAGAGTAAGTACATCTGAGTCGGTAGACTTGCATTGCTTCAGTTGCCGGGACACAAAGCAATGTTCCGCTTCGATTAGTGGATCCAGTGAGACCACCCAAGGCAGGGTCGGCCGGTGGCCGAGTGGTCTGCGCACCTGGTTTGCAACCATAAGGTCCACGGTTCGAATCCACTTAGGGGTGGGCGTCCTCGCGGTATACTCAGCCCGCGCGCGACTGGTGGTGGTCTCGCAGCAGCGAAGCACCGTTACGGCGTCCAGCTGGCACATTATTATCTTATTTATTATATTTACCCAAGGCAGGCAAATGGTTGCATAGAGCACAAAAGCGGATGAAAACCATAATAATTAAAACTTTCAGACATAAAATAAGTCAACCAGTGCACAGCGCAAGAGAAATACATATCTACGAACCAACAATTATCTACCTAAATGCAGTGTACTAAAACACGTCTCGGCAGACGAGCGATGTGGACTGAGCCATTGAACGTTAAAATGATTAGCTCCCATACGCTGGCTAATACATTGAAAATCACCTTGATGACAAATAATGCGAAAGAAATGCAGGAGCTGTTACAAGTTATTATGGTACAAAACAGAGTTCTTTCAATCGTACACTGACGAATTGAGATCAGTGTATTAGACTGCATGATGTACTGATCCAAGTATTGAATTCCTAAGAACGCTTGTAATTTTTAACAAATTTTATTGCCCTTTTGCAAATAATTTTTTCAACAGTGTTAACAGACCGAGAAGAAGATGAAAGTTGATAGCTTCTTGCGGTTCGTATTGCCTCCTCAGAGTCATTAAAAAGAGTCGATTTGCATAGTTATAGTTAGTATTGGGTGCAATCAGACAAGCTGGAGCTGCACAGTGAATAATTTTAGTCTCTATTTTGAGAGCGACCTTACACTTATAAACAACTAGTTTTGAACGCTTAAGGCTGGTTTCATACGGCTTATTCCGACGGCCTCGGCAAAATGAAGGAAGCGGGGATTAGCGTGAAGCAGCACAACTTTAATCGCTAAGGCAAAATCCATCCGGTGATTAGAAACCAGTGGATGTTTGCGTACCCAGGATGCCGGTGGCCTAGTGCATCAAATTCGCATCAGATATACTTCTTTGGGGCTCATGGTAACTCAGAATACCAATCATAGGTAGCAGCCGAGGCCTAGGGATTTCAGAATAGCCTTAATGTTTACTATCCAACCAAGCACTTGTGTAATACATGGTAGATTACTTTAGCATGTTTTACCTAACTGACCATGAAACTGCATGCAACCATAAAACCGGAATAATTTTGAAAGATTTTCTTCCTATATCTATTATTGTATGCTCGAGGACTTTTCAATAGGTTAGCCGAACTGAATGACTGTTGAATTGCCAAGCCATCATCATCGGTGTCACTGAGACAAGTTTAAAGCCGCGATGATAGGCGTGGAAGTATCGCTACCGTGAACATCGCTAATCTAACACGACGGGTTCACTAATGGAGGAAGAGTAATTCCGTATTACCGAGGCGACCTGCATTGTGAAGCGATGGATAATTCAGATTCATCGATTCTCGATTATCTCCGCTGTTACCTCCAGCTAAAAGGTTGAGTCACCTGCCTTATAGTATTGATGTACCGCCCCCAAACTTTACACCCGGAGTGAACTGGCAACTAACGACTACTCTAAGACGCCGTTTTAACAGAAGATGCGCTCACATGCTTATGATGAGAGCTTAAAACTTGCATTGTTTAGAAAACTCTGCGATGCTCAGAGAACAATTCAAAGCCAACCTGCAAGAGCTCGGTACCAGTGCTCCAAGTTACAACTAAGTGCTGCTTAACCTACCTACTTTGAACAGAGTCCACCCTGATGTTTGGAAATTGTTGCGTGATTATTTTACTGATCACAAGCACTTCACTCAGTTACGCGTTAAGGGATCTCCTCTGCTTCGCGTCGACTGTGGCGTTTTGAAAAAAGGTGATCCTCTTACTCTTTCTATTTTCTTTATATGTGAAAAGATTTCCAATACCATCCACATTAATTGGATGTAAATATGCTGATGATAATGTATTGCGGTGCAATGGTCTCTCCACTGAGATTTCTGCTACGCTTCAATTCATGTTAGACGAACTTGTGAGTTGGTCATCATCCAGGTCCTTTAACCCTAGTGCTTTTAAATATACCGATGTAACTTGCTCATTCCTCCGTCTTCACAAGTTGCGAGTAATCTTTGATGTCTCTCCTCCATTAACTATTAATGACAAATGCATGCCTATTTCATCCACTGTCAATTATCTCGGTGTATA